TGCCTGTTATTGTTAGCACAGCACTACAAATATAAAGCGCTGACATAACCTTGTAATAGCGCAGTATAGATTTAGAAAAATATTGTTTACCAAGTTATTTGACACTCAGTTTGGCACAAAATTATAACATTCATTGATTATTGATATAATAATGTTGTTTTAATACTCATCAATTGTTAAAACGGTAAACAACCAGCAAATATATTTTTATCGTAACTGCAACGCCATTACAAAGTTACGTCATCAGTTCAATCGCGACGTGTCAGGAACGCATTCTCTGAACGGCCGAACTATAGGTAAAGTAATAGGGAAAGTTAGAAAGTAGTGAAATTTTCAATAATGCATTTCCAACGGGGGCTCTCATGATAAATTTATGTTTTATTTCAACATTTCTCAGCGTCTCCCCTAAATAGTTTGGGCACAAGAAGAGATACAGTCCACTAATGACTGACGTCAAGACCGGGACCATTCCTTAGGGACCCGTAATGTTAGTCGTCAAACCTTTCTCTTGAGGCAGACACATGGCCGGAGGGCTTTAAAAATTGCCTAAACACTTAAAAAAATCAAACACTTGAAGCTTTAATCCTATACCAATACTTTCTTTTGAGAAGGGAGGCAGGTTCTGAGTTGAACGTCCGCTCAGGGGTCACGCCTACCTCGTTGTTCCCGAACCCAACGTGGTGTGGTATTGGTCTGTAAATAGAAGGTCAATAATTGGTTGACCTCTGCTGCAGAGCGCGCGATGAAGACTTTCCTTTCCTTTTCACATTATGATGGGAAAAGTTTCGAGAAGGGGCGTCGGTCGCAGAAAAAAGTCATGGCTAAGTAACATCCGGGAGTGGACGGGAATCGGAGTGCCGCCGAACTGTTTCGCAAGAATAGAGCGGATTTCACTAAGCTGACTTGCAACCTTCGCTAGTCGGAGAGGCACAAGAAGAAGAAGTAGAGCAGAGATAACTCGTTTGTAGAAGTGCTGGAGTCCCACGAGTGTCCGTCCTCTGCACTCGTTTTCACACTCTACACGAGACATCTAGAAGGACCTAGTCAATACTGCTATTTTCGCCATTGACACGGCACTCTTCGTCCCCTATTACAATAGAAGATTTCTCTCCAAGATGCTCCAAAGAACCGCCGATCGCTTAAGCGTATAGTTTTGCTTATGAAATATTGAAGTGAATCCTGAGAAAAGTGTAGCAATACTTTCAAAGGGACCACTGACTCAGTCCTTGGAACTTAAACCGAAAATCCACCCGCCAGATCCCCCGGGAAACGATGGCAAAATACCCTGAGGTCTCATTTAACCACGGTATGACCTACCCGAAAGCCAAAGTCATCACTAGCCGGCTCTATCCACTAGTTAACAGCAAAAGCAAACTATCCTAAAAGCACCAGTTTCATCCTTACAAAACGTGTCTGTCATGTCCTACGTGTAACAGAATAGTTTCGCTCGCATAGCCACCGGAGCCCGGTGGTACCAGCGAAACTCCGTCCTTCACAGGGATTGCCAACTTTAGACAATCTCTGAATATTTCAACAAATTTTCAGCGCTATTTTGAGAGCGCCGAATCACATCCCAACCCGTTGGTGAAAGTGGTAAAAGCAGCCACCTATGCTGAGGCTCCAAACATCACGGACAGTCTCCAGGGATCCCGTAACGTTTCAATAGAATCACAGAAACTAGACTGACTCTAACGCTGGACCGAACTTAACTTCGATTCTTATCGCATAACTATAAAGGCGGATCTTCACGTTGGCCAACATAGTGGCGAATGTTGTGGCCAATACCAATGAAATACGTGTAGAGCGGGTGTTTGTGCTTACGTTTGTATGTATTGGAATGATAACCCACATAGCGCGAGATCCGTGGGGTGTCGGTTTTTTACAAAAGATCAGAGAATTGTAGCAGAGTATGGCCACCGCGTCCACACGTTGGATGTGCGTTTAGTTTGCTACGAGCTCTCAGAGTGATCGCACTTGATTTAAATTTTATATTCACGCATCGTTATTAGTGGCTACAAAATGGCAGTAAAAATGACCAATGAAAAAACTTTTCGCTTTATAGAGCTCTATCAAGCCGAAAATTGTTTGTGGAATACAAGAAATATTTTTTTTTCATTTCTTTTTAACCACCCAGCATCTGTCTTTCCATCCGATTACAGTGTGGGTGTCTTGAAGGCAAGAGTGAATAGCCTTTTGTTAAGTTAGTGCGCTGCACCATCTTAATCTACATCACCATTTACCATAAGGTGGGATCGTAGATAAGCACTGGCTTAGTAGAATATATAAAAAAAATAAAAAAGAAACCTCTTCTTATACACTTTCACGTAGTAGCGGTACCTATGCTGTGAATAAATAAACCGCAGCAGCCGTTAGCGCCTCAATTTCCATTTTCATAAATTCGTTTTCACATTGGCCTGAATCGAAGCAAACTGAACGACCTTCCACGTGTGGACGCAATCACAAACTCTTGGTTAATATCTTTGCAACAACATTCGCCATTATGTTGGCCAACGTGAAGAGCCGCCTTTACATATTAGTTGTGTTACATACCTTACCAGACCCTCCACGTTAATGCACACAAAAAAAAATTGCCAATTTTATTTGAAATACAGGTTATATTTTGTTAAACTTGATAATATGACTGGTTGTGACTGTGATTGTTATTGGCAAGTATCAGAAGTAATATGATAAATGCGCTTTAGACTTTCTGGCGCCTGATGACTTTCATTCCCACTTATACATTCATCTTCTAACAGGCGCTTGTATATTAACAGGCTGTATCATTGGTAAAGTTTAACCCATACTTCACAGAATGGTTTTGAAGAGACGTTTCACTAGTGCAAGGGTATTAGCTATTGGCTTTGTGCTCATTTAGGCGGCTGCCGAAGGTCGACCGGGGAAGGACCACGCTCTCACAGAATACCAGCGTAAAATAGCATCTAAATGCTGCTGTGTTTCGTATGGTGAGTGTAGAGAACTGGAGACCCTTTATACTGGATACGAGGTATTCCATCTTAGTCCTCAGGGGCGACAACGCATCTGCATTTTGATTCGCAAACGAGGATAAATGTAGATGTCTAGTGGCTACAGCAACCACTTACCATCAGGTGGACTGTGTGCTCGCTTGTCACTCTTAACTTATAAAAAATCGTAACAGACAAATCTTCTATATTTCAAATATTGTTGAAAAGAACAACATTATTTCACATTCTGAAGTCGATGCTATGACGCTGTATATTACAATAAAGGCCCGACTTCATAATGTGATATTATTTTATTATTTATAGTTGTTTGAATTGGCTTTTACTTTTTATTAAAAGTTTTTTTTTATCTTTCTGGATGAATTAAGGATTATCACAACCTCAATATCGCCAAAATAGGTCCATTAGAGGAAAATTTTACAACAAATTTATATGGATCCAAAATATTTAATAATAAATTATTTGTCAAAAGAAATATTTTGTCAAGTTCACCATTGAGAAAGAAATATCAACAACACATATAAAAAACACATATAAAAAAACATAGTCAAATTGAGAACCTGCTCTTTCTTTGAAGTCGGATAAAAGGCTTTTAAAGAAAGGCGTCTGGCGATAAGTTTTTAAGTTTGAATGGACTAACTCTAGTACTATGGGCTATGTCTGCCCCATACTGCCCCATGCTGCTCCATGCCCCAAGTGCTGCTTTTGGTGACTGGACTACTCGGGGCTGCAACACATTTATTCGTTTTAGTGAAGAATATTATTCTTTTTTGTTTTGTAATGGGTCTATTGTTCCTTTGTATTTTTTATGTTTCGCTGGCCTTAAAAATATGAAGAAATGTACGTAGTATCAATCGTCGCTCCTTCTCTGGACAGAATTAATTATGATAAGTTATTAAAGCGTGAATAAACTTTCTATTTCGTTTCACTTAATTTCACTAGTCATTCGAATTATAAAATATTATAGTTCAGTAATTAATTTTTCATTTTAATTTTGCTATACCTAAATACTGTAAGTAGGTACATATTTTATACCTATTAGATTTATAAATTGCTTATTATATTATTAATTATACTAAGGATAAGGAGGACGAAGTTTCAATGTGATATAAGTTATTTGTTAAATATGTGTCTATCTCCAAGTTCAACCAACGATTTATAGTTGATTTACTGTTTAAGTCGTAAAAAGCAATATATAGAAAAGATATGCTAGTTTAAAATTAAATTATTTTAAGTAGGTTACCTCATATTTGTATAATCAATGATTCTTTCTATCATTTTTACAAAATAGTCTTTAAGAAACAGTTTTAAGGCACAACGGAGCAAAGTCAAGGACTTATCAGCAAGAATTCGAAGAAAACTTAAATGACCGAATATTTTGTTTGAGAAAGTAAACTAATGCAAGTCGTCCTCTGTAGTGTACTAGACTTTGCGTGAGGTCAATAACCTTATCATCTTACGTCATTGCTTAAGCCTCAGTAGACTGATTACTTTAATTGTTCAAAATAATTAATATAAGTTAAAGTGTATATAGAGAGTTAACTTAGTAGTTTAAAAGGAAATACGTGACGAGCATCAACCATAATGATAAAAAAAATTATTTAAACAGCAGTAGTCACGACACAAATTTGTACAGTTGTTTCATTTATTCGTTCATTTAAAGTAGACGTTGAGACAGGAAAGAACGTTGGATAATGTGTAATTCAAGGTGCTCAGATAAAATTACCTATTTATTAAAAGTGACGTCGACTGTAGTAAGACCTCTGTTATCGTGAACGAGATGCGTACGCCTCATATACACTGGCGCGCTCTCATATCGCGCTGCATTTTACAACCTGATATTTACATCTCTGGTTTTTGGAAACGACACTTGGAAAGCCTCGGATTAAGCGTGTAGCAGTCACAATCCAGCGCCGGCGGCGATCGCGAAGCAGTGCTGCGCGTGAGTTTCAAATTTCATACCTTACTACGATCACTTTTACTGACTCTCACTTTTATCGCCGTGTTATAAGTAATAATATGAGTACAAGTACTGAAAATATCAACAGCACTGTTGAATTAACGAAATCGAATATACGTCTTACTGACAGTCAAGAAAGGACATGGCGAGAGAAATCGAAGCATGTGTTGAAGGACATCAAGTATTGTATACGCGAAACAACAGTTGAGCCATGTTTGTTTACTTTCATGTTGTGTACAGCCTTATCGTCGCTTGCTGTACAAAATATGCATTTGGAGAAATCATGCAGAGTTAATTTACAATATAGCGACGAGATATGTGATCGGATCAGAGATCGGAATACGACGGGACTCGAAAAGGAATTAAATAATGTTCAGTCATTGGTAGCTAAAGTAGTTGCCTGGAAATTTCCCTTACAAACAGCAATACCCGCTATAATGGTACTTTTTATTGGAGCATGGAGTGATAAAACCAAAAAACGAAAAATATGCATATTATTTCCTTTCACCGGAGAGATTATTGCAAATATTGGCCTTTTATTTGCTACATATTATTTCAACGAATTGTCGTTAACAGCAACTGCGCTAATTGAAGCATTGCCGGCAGCGTTCACTGGTAGCTACATCATTATATTTATGGGCATGTACAGTTTTATGGCTGATAGAACAACAATAGAAAACAGGACATTTCGATTAGGTATAGTTACAATATGTGTTAACTTGGGAACTCCTACAGGAACAGCATTGAGTGGTATCTTACTGCGAGTGTTGGGATATTACGGCATGTTTTCTCTGTTGTTAGTGCTACATACTTTTTCTTTTTTGTATGGTGTGTTTAAACTTGAAGATATATTACCACCAGAAGAAAAGTTCAATGTTATTAGTGATTACAGTGAAAATAATAAATTTAAGAAAAAGTTAAAGGAAATTTTTAAACTCGTAGCAGAAACGGCAATGGTAGCGATCAGACCTCGGGAATTTGGTTTGAGAAAGCAAATATTTTCAATAATTTTACTGTATATTATCATGGTGGGGCCTCTGTATGGTAAGTACTAAACAACTTGTATGTTATATCCATATCTATACGTAAATATATGTGAATGACATAGAAAAAGGAATAGGAAAGCACCGAAAAATATAAATAGATGAGTAAACTGTAGTGTAGTCAGTATCATATTAAAATAAATATTTTATTATAAAAGATATATTATGCTTTATTGGTATCGAAACAGATATATTAAGTATTAAAATGGATAGTAATGCATTTCTAAATCAAAATAATGTAATCTAATGTTAAGCTATAAATAATAAGCCGTCGTCAATTTTGTGTATCACACATTTCTATTGGAATTGATAAGTTATCATATTTAAGCTTTGAAATTAAGCTAAGTAATTATATACGTAATATATCAAAAGACAAAGAGTTCACAATTACTGTCTAATAATAGTTGAAAATTGACTAAGTCATTTCAGATAGTAGTCAGTATTGTCATTACATTTTTCCAAATTGATTTTTAATTAATGAAGAGTATGAGAATAAGATCCTCGAGAGAACCTCTGTGTTTTAAAATGTTTTGTATTGTTTTTGTAAATAAGCATAATTAGACGCTTAAAATGTCAGAGATAACATTATTTTACGAGTTTAATAAAAACACCCAGGGGAAAAATTAACTTTTGGCCCACAACCTTGATAAGCATTTTGACTCTCAGAATGCATTAAATTTAAAAAAAGAATCTGAATTTTCCCGAATCAAGGTTTCCGAATTTAATTCGTATATTACGTATATAAAAATAAAAATATTTATTATAGCTCGCCAAAAGTCAACAGCTGAACATGAGCCTTCTCATAGATTGTCACAAAGTACAGTTCTGAGCCATCTGAATGCATGTGTCACCAGGTCATCACTACATCTATTAGGGGGTCGATGTGATAAAACATGAATCTCTATAATATAAAAGTAATCTCGCAATTATATTTGTAATACCTATACTATATTTCAATGACAAGACTGAACATGTTCTAGATTAACGATGTACAACATCGTTAATCTCAATGTGTGTTCCCTAATTAAGTACCTACACACATTCGCCTGTTAATGCACGAAAGTGACTAATAATCCGGTAATCGGGCGAATAATTTTATTTTTTATCCGACTATTAGGATTTGCCCAGTTTATAACTAGGTGCAACCGAGGACTGCCCGAGTTATTAATTGCTAAAAGTATGTGTAAGCGGTTGCTTTCCGCAAAAATTAGGTCTCGTAAAGTGCGAATAATAGTTAAAATAACTATGACTGCTGTTAACTTTGTCAAAAATACAATAGCTCTTATCAAGTAACAAGCAAAGGTGTGGAAAAATGCTTCCGTGCATGGGTGCGTTCGTCGTGCGTACGAGCGCGCGCGTGCTCGCGCTGTTGTATGTGTGTATGTGCCTTTTATAATTGTAGTATTAGTAACATTATGTTTATAAATATTTGTATAATGACTCTGACGCCTGCGAATTTACTTTCGCATGTGGCCTTAATAATTACCACATACGAATTGAAATTAATTGTTCTTATTTTATTGATTAATTTGCATTAAATCACAAAATCTTCGGATCTTAATTATACATAATTCAATTTACCCATTAGTTAAAATAATATTTACTATATTATTCCTACGTAATATTGGTCGTTTAATATTTGCATGTCATTTTTGCTAAATTAACTTTATTTTTAGCTTTTGATAATATATTGAAACGTATCAATTATCGTAGGATGTAATGAAAATATTTGTATTTGTGATTTTTAACATAATCGGTCTATTGTAATCTATATATATATATATATATATATATATATATATATATATATATATATATATATAATAATCACTTCAAACAGAAGCAGTAAATTTTCGTTTCGAAAACCGTTCGGTAAACAATCCATTAAACATGCTGGCCAAGGATATCGTTTTACATATATTTAAAAAATATACTCAAATTGCTATTCCCTTCATTTTTGAGACTACCAAATGAATGGTAATGTTTTCCGGGCTAATTTTTACCATTGCGACAAATAGCGAATATTCCTATGCTATCAATTGCCTAGATACATATTTAAGTTTGCGTAAAACAGAGGCACTCACCTGTCGCAACCTACTCGTCGATATAACGCCGGCGGTAGAAAAACGCAGTATCAGAGACAAAGTAACGTTCACAACACAGCCTTATCCAAAATGCGTCAATTTATATTTTTGTAAAAATATTGGTTGCAGCAGGAATTTGGCACCAACACGCATATAGTAGATAGTCTGAACACTATGTTACGCTTTCTTTAAAAAAATAACATTATAGTGTAAACGCCACGCATATTATTGAATCCTTAAAAAAGTCACCATTATTTACTCAAATAACCGAAGTAGGAATGATGAAATCGAAAAAACTGGTTTTGATGCCGTTTGATGTTAATGCTCGAAAAGCTGTGGGGTTAAACGTTTGTTTACTTATTTAATTACCATCCAAAAGAGCATTGCATTAGTTGTAGGGCTTCTCACGTTTATGAATTCTGTAACAAAAAATCAAAGAATAATATTCAGACTAGTTTCTAATTAGAAAACGTTATATATTTATATAACATAATTTCTCTCGTAAGCAAATGGGGAGGAACTATAAGGGATTTTTATTGCATACGGCAGGAGTCATTTTATGAATTTTGGCTTCCCTTTGATAAATGTTGACAAATGTATGTGGCAAAATGCTATCAGTCTGTGATGTATTGAATTGTTGAAATTCGACAAATACAAAGTGACTGTTTTTCCCTCAAACATGGCAGCAAATTTCTGACAGCATTCGAAATAAAAATCGTGCATGTGTTTTATATTGTCGCTCAGGAGTATAATCTCTTATGAAATAATTTGAAGAACTACGCAAAGACGGAATATATTTAGTTGCGTCCAGCTCCTATAGAATTTCTTACATAACATCAAAGGATGGCAAGAGATGTTTCTTACTTATAAACTACTTTTTTCCGATATCTTATGTTACTGCGAAAGGAAAATTATAGAATCATAATACACATCAAATTCTCAGGGAGTATGGTGACTTTGATTATTTTTTATTTTATTTGTTAAAGAAATGACAGCGTTACAACGATTAGGTTGCTGATAACACACTTTAAATTATGTTGTAAGGACAATAGCAGGTTCTTCTATACATTTAAAAAGTAGCAAATTATACAAATTATACAAATGAGACGTTAAAACAAGATTTTTATTTGCGCAGAATACTGAAGTCAATACTCAATCTTTGTATCATAATTTGAGCATATATTTAGTTTTATTAGCAAACATATTAAAGATTACAGAAAATGAGATGGCAATAATCGTACGTTCTTTTATGTTTTACGATAGACTAACTTAATTCAATATAATGGTTTAATACAAGCTGGACTTCATGAAATATCTACTAGAATGTCGTCTTATTAGTTGTACATACATATATATATAGGTATATATATATATATATATATAATTCTTAAGGAATGTAATCTTTATTCCTTAAGAATTTTCCGTACAAAGGAATGGACTTTTTCTTTAAATTTATATGTTATGACCATCCATATAGATAGGTTTAGCCGTTTCCAAGAGTCGGTCTATATACCAAAAATAACATTTGCGTAGAATATATAACTCGTTTCTCGTTTTGTTTGAATATTCGGTTAAAAGTGAGCATATTAAAACATGTATATTAGATAAAATTTCGCAAACAGACTTTATTCAGGACGAATATGTTAGTACTTTTGTCACGGAATAATAAGTTTCTGTTACCACATGGACAGAGCCAAGGGTAGATGTAAGTCAAAGATAAATTGAAACATGAAAAATGGGTTCTTTTTGAAATATGATAGCATGGATAATTGTTAACTGAAGGACTATTGATGTAAATAACTGTAAACTTTTCTAAAAACATAAAATAATATAAGAATAATATATTTATTTACACTTAATTGTACACCTTAAATAAAATTATTATAAAAGGCGGACTTAATACCTTTTGGCATTCTCTCCCAGTCAACTCGGTATCATATTACAGTAAAATATACATATGTATGTATCCGCTTTCGTTTTAACAGCCTTTTCTAACGTGGTAGATCCATCTGCTATATTATGGCAGCAGTTCGAATGGTTTGGCTCGACCGGGGTCGAAACAGTAGAATAAATGCTGCAGTGTTTCGTGTGGTGACTTTAAAAGAACTGGAGAACCATTTTACTGGAAACGAGACATTCCATCTTGGTCCTCAGGGATGAAGGACATCGCATCTGCATTTTGATTGTTAATCGAGGATAGATGTAGATGTCTATGGGCTACAGCAACCAGTTACCATCAGGTGGAATGTGTGCTCGTTTGTTATCCTTATTATATAGAAAAAGTCAATCATAATTCACCGCTAAATAAGATCGGTTGTTTTAATATTTCGATAACTGCTTAAGCATAACTTAAACGAGTATAAGTATTAATAATTACTATTTAATATCTTCAATTATAGTATGGTTATTGTATTTTCTGTTAACAGTCGGATTATCAATAGATTTATAATATACAAGTCGATAGTCCGTATGCTTGCCATTGAGACAAGTTAATGAGCCCATAGACAATAACCGAACATGATAACAAAGAAACTTGTTCGTTCGTCATATAATTTTAATTTTAACTGCGCGTTGCCCTAGTATTTGTGGTAGTGCGACTGCTGATCATGAGGTCCTGGGTTCGAATCCCGGGTCGGGCCAAAAAAATCAGTTATTGAGCTTTTACACAAAGAAACTGTCAGTAGCTGCCCGGAGTCAGGAAGCTGGCGGTGTCTCATCCCCGTGCCTCAGAAAGCACGTAAAGCCGTTGGTCCTGCGCCTGATCTCTCTCCGGTCGTGTCGCTTTACCGTCCCATCGGACTATGAGAGTGAGGGAATATAGAGAGTGCACCTGTGCTTGCGCATACACTTGGCCACTATAATCCTGTCCTGCGCCGATGGCTTAGTCTCCGTTGAGGCTAGCAGCGGTGACCGAAATTCAGTCTGGAGAACATTATTATTATTGGGGTATCTATAAAGTTTTCTCATCTGGTTGGGCAGTATAAATATATAATTGTAAATGAAAATGGTAAACATACATAAATATGAATAAAATAAAATAAATACATAAAAAATACATAAATATATAAAAACCCAACCAGATGGAAGCCCTCGGCAGGGGAGATCAGACGGCCGAGGGTTAGGGGGAAAGGGAAAGAAACCGGCGGACGATGCGGGCGGTATCGAGGAGCACCGCCTTCTGCATTTGAGCCTGGAGCGGTCCGTCACGGAGTCCCAGCCGCCTCAGATGACCCGGGAGGCTGACTGGGATTAACCCATTCGCAGAAACGACCACAGGAATAATTTCGGTCGGCAGACCACCCCACATGCCGGTAACCTCGTGAGCCAGGTCCAGATATTTTGTCACCTTATCTGTTTCGGCTTTCACGAGGTTCTCGTCATAAGGAATGGTAATGTCGACCAAAAAGATCCTTGACTGTGCCCGGTCCATCAGCACAATATCAGGCTTATTCGCAAGAATAGTCCTGTCTGTGATGATGGCCCGGTCCCAGTAGAGCCTGGCGCGGTCATTTTCGAGCACGGCTTCCGGCAAGTACTTATAATACGGCAGTTTCCGATCCACGAGGCCGTATTTCAGAGCGAGCTCCTGGTGTAGAATCCTGGCTACTAGATTGTGTCTGTGCAAATACTCAGAGTTAGAAAGCGCCGAACAACCGGAGATGACATGCCTAAGTGACTCACCGGGATGGCGACAAGCTCGACAGATGTCGACGGCGCCATCCTTTAGGATGTATCTCCGATAATTGTTGGTCTTAATAACCTGATCCTGTATCGCACAGACAAAACCCTCGGTTTCCCCAAAGAGGTCACCGAAACGTAGCCAGTGAAGGGAGGCGACTGTGTCTACGAAAGGCTCATGTAGAGCCTTGTAGAACCTCCCGTGGAGCTCCTTCTCCTTCCATACGGTCTCCCGGTCGGAAATGCACTGTACTGCTGGGTCTTGCCATTGCTCGTTGGCTAAGGATAGAGGGGTCAGTCCTTTATCACAAGAAATAACGTCCCTATAGTATGGATCATCCGCTCTCGTCAGAAAGTAATTACGGAGGCTGCACACTTCGCGATTATGCATGGTAAGCGCGCTTAAAAAGCCGCGCCCGCCATGCTTCCGCGGCAAGTACAGCCTCATTACTGACGATCTCGGATGATGCATCCTGTGGGACGTCATTATAGTGCGGACTTTTCTGTCCAGAGCGTTTAGTTCGGTCTGAGTCCACCTAAGTATGCCAAAGGTATACATGAGAACAGGCATGACCCAACCGTTATATGCGTGCGTCTTATTCACACCGGACAAAAGGCTGTTAAGCACTTTGGTCAAGCGTGCATAAAACACATCGCAAACTGACTGTTTCATACCCGCCTCATCTACACCGATGTTCTGTGACATACCCAGGTATCGGTATGTTTCAGCCTCGGAAAGGGTTCTTATGTTGATGGGCATAGATAAATCTATGCCCTCAGAGTTAGCAACCCTTCCCCTTTCAACATGGAGGACCGCACACTTATCCGTCCCCAGCTCCATTCTAATAGAATTGCTAAAATCACAAGTGATGTTTAGCAATTCCATAAGATGAGAGCGACTGGAGGCGAATAACTTGAGATCATCCATATAGAAAAGGTGGGTCACTTTTGTACCTCCCCTCCGAAGCTGAAATCCCCTCCCGGAGCCCTCCAGTAAGGTACTGAGAGGGTTCAGAGAGAGGCAGAACCAGATTGGACTCAGACAATCGCCCTGGAAGATACCCCTTCTTATCCTTATGTGGTTCTCCGCAGCCGTCATCCGCTCGCCTAGATGACAAAGGATCGTACTCCACTGCCCCATACACTGCCCAAGGAAGTCTCTAACTGTACAGTCAACCTTGTACAGCTCGAGGACCCTCTCCAGCCATGTATGAGGCACCGAGTCGAATGCCTTTTTGTAGTCTATCCAGGCGGCGGATAGGTTCCGACGGTTGCGTTTAACCACTTTGCCAATGACCGCGTCAATGAGGAGTGGTTCCTTGGTTCCACGACCACCGCCCCGACATCCATTTTGAGCGCGCGACATCACCTGATTTGAGTTCAGGTGACGAGTGATTCTCGCGCTCAAAATGGATGTTAGTGTCTTATATATCGTGGGTAGACACGTGATGGGGCGGTATTTGCTCGGGTCTATGGTATCCCGGTCCTTAGGAACCAAATGAGTGATCCCAGTAGTGAAGAGGCTCGGGAGCGACTTTTGGTCGAGAGCCTCTTGAAATTGTCGGGCGAGCACAGCGTGACACACCACGAACCCCTTCAGCCAGTAGTGATGCAGCCCATCGAGCCCCGGACTTTTCCAGTTCGGGGCCCTTCGGACCGCCTCAGCTACATCGTCCGGCGTTATAATGACGGGGTCCATGGGCGTAAGATTCGCACACTGACTCACCACAGCTTCCGTCCAAGGGCCCTCGCGGTGGTTTACGGGCTCTGACCACAGGCCGCGCCAGAATGCGACAGTGTCGGCCTGATTCGGTGCTTGGCCCGTTCCACGTACCATTGGTCGCTCCAATGATTTATATAGCCTCTTCTGATCACTCTGGAAGAGACGATTCTGGTTGAACCGTGTCGACCTCTCGGTGTATCGCCGAATCCGCTTCCCCCAAGCAGCGATTCTCTGCTTCAGGTCGTCTATGCGCTCCGTCAGTTTTTGCGTTATATCCGGCTGGGACAAACTGATATTTGTCCCAGCAAACGCCATTCTGACGGTGCGCACAATTCGCGGCCTATTATTGCCCGACCTGAAGCTTATCAGCCTGCCGATGAGGGCCCTTGCCTTTACGATACGGTCCTCAATCCTTCTTCTCCAGGCTGGGATGGCGCTACTTTGTCTAGTAGCGCGTCCAGCCGTGGGAAGTTTGGCGCCAACAATACGACAAACTGCCAGTGCGGCGCCAAAAAGAATTGAGTCCGTCTCGCAAAGGTCCCGGCTGGCTTCCAAATAGGTGACCAGCATTGGGTTGAGAGCCCTCACGACAGCCCGATTCCGCTTGCTTAGGGGTATGCGCGGGAGTCGCGGTCGATTTTCGAGAGGCGTACTGCGCGTTTCCACAATCGCCTCCTCCAATTTACTCCTCATCTGCTCTAGTTCTTGGGTGACTATTCCATCATCGCCTGAATCAACCAGAGCAGGGAGATCCATGGCGCCCTCTATATGTGGCTGCTGGTCTGTGGCCTGAAGAGCCGCATCCCCAGCTCTAGCCGGTTCATTCGATGAGGGAATAGCCTCACGTCGTAGTCGTTCAAGTTCGGCATCATCAAATATTTTCGAGCGTATGATGTACCGAACTCGGTCTGCCAGGTTTTGCTCCGTAACGGGAACTGACGGCTCAAGCTCAGCAAAAAAGCGATGCATCCGAGCCCGATACGCTATCCCTCCAGTTTCTTCCCCTTTCGCCCTATAGTACGCCCGCAATGCGTTTATGTTCATATGTTTTGTCCAACGCATGCGGCGTACTCCACCAGCGGCGGGTGCCGCTTGCCGAGTCCGAGAGGACCCCGCCGACACCAAGCCGTCTGGTGGGGATGATGGACGCGAGGGGCTGCTAGGTGGTCGTGCAGCACCTCGCGCTCGGCTGGCGGCTCGCATGCTGTCACGTCCAGCGCCAGCACCAGACGCGCCCCGGCGACCCCCAGGCAGCGGCCCTATGCGCGTTCTATAATTTTCCATCATCCATTGAATTGGGCGTCAATTAACGGGAGACGCCCAGACCCGGCGCCGTTTAATAGTGTGGCCGTAAGCACAAACGGGCCTTTGCACCCTCAATACTGCCGAGGCACGGCGCTCACACCTCTTGGCAAGGCACTGACTGACTGCGCTGACATAGCAGTTTTGTCACTTAACTGTTACGTCAGCGGGCGATGGGGTCGTCACTTCCCTACGCCTTTATTATTATTATTATTATAATTTTAATTTTTTCGCAGGTGACTCGCAAGTCAGTTATTTGTATGCGATACGTAAGTTCAACTTAAACGAAGTGGAATTCAGTATTTATGGTGCCATTAACACTATTTTAGGTTTGATAGGTAAGTAAGTACGATATTATTAGAAATGTAATTCAAAAGTATTTTATTGACATTGCGATTTCATTCAAAGTTATTTACCATTCTCCGACTGGACCTTATTTATGTCAAGGAAAAATACTCAACAGAACTCCTTTTCTATATAACCGCAGTAAATGTATTGCGGCTACATAGAAAAGGAGTTCTGTTGAGTATTTTGTGTGATCCAATCTGGGATGTTATCTGGCCAGCTATTTAATAAATTAATAATAGGCTTGAGTCATTAGGTCCCCAGAGCTGACGACGCATATATACTCCTTTAAAAATATTTTTGGAAAGTTTTTTTTTAATATTAATTCTTTATTCATATCTCTATGCCATAAAAATAAAACCAATACCTATGATGACATCATTATAATATTCCGAATTATACGAAAATTTTATGCATAAAAGATAGTTAATAAATGGAAGCTGGCCACAAAATATCACAGATTTAGTGTTATCGCCAAATATATTTTCAACCATGACCTTTTATAAATGCACATTTGCGTATTCTGCGTCATTTAGCTCTATACCGACTATATCAACCTAGGTCAAGGATGTGGTATGTTATCTCAGTGCATATACAAAATATTTTTCACAACCTTAATTTGATTATAAAATATTTTGTGAATCAACTATGTTTAAGGAAACAGATAATTGCATAGCGTATGTTATAATTGGCTTGTATAACTAAAATAATTTTACTCGGGGACAATAACAGATTATGAATTAAATACTACGAGTACATAACCGTCATTCATTTAATCAATACAGACTTTTAAAAGTCCACTGCTAAACTTAATCCTCTCCCATAGATTGCCTCTTTTGGCAGGCCGGTTAGCAACCATTGTTTCTTTTTAATTATTTGAAGATGCTGTTTCCCATCTCCTGTTTAATTTCCCTAATTCGCTTCTTACGACTAGGCTGGATTGCCGGTAGTTGAATTAATTTGACATATATGACTTGTCATATAGTTGACATATATTTAATATACGAGTAGTTATTTGTTTTTGTTCGCCTAACATTTTCTAAGGCATTCCAATTAAAAAACCTTGGTATGTATAGACACATATTTTTTTGAAAATAACTTTTAACGCAGTTAATAAGTAATAAATACAATTTCAGGAACTTTCTTTTGCATAACAGTCTTAAGTAAAAAATTGGACGTCCAAGATAGTATAATTGGAATTTTGGCTGGTGTCAGCAGAATAGCATCTTGCATGGTGTTCGCCTTTGCTCCTAATAGGAACTGGTATTATTCAGCGCCACTTTTTAACATATTCAGTCATACCGGATTGACTGCTATAAGAGCTATTGCTACGAAAAGTGTTCCTACGGAGGAAATTGGTGAGTTCATTGATGAATGTTTTAATTAAATTTTCTACGTTTTACATATAGATTTGTGGATAATAATTGAATTAAAGATAAAAAGAAAGAGTACTTTCTACCCCAAACAAAACAACTTCTTTATCAGTTCTAAGACTAATTTTCTGTTATGATATTCGGAAAAATATTATTAAATCAGACTAGTAAGTACATAGTATTTCCAGAAAATATTACTTCATTTTCTAGTGCCTACCAGTACAGTACAAGTATTATAGAGACTTGCTCATTTTATAAGGAAATCGACAAACAACTTTCTAATGAACATATATAACAAATATTCCAGTTGAATTTTCATATTAAGAGACAGTCCGTTACGCAGTATGTGAACAAGTATTGCCGCCGATAACTCTCAGTAATTTTGTACAGCTTTACCATATAGTCATAAGTAGATCCATCATCATCATCATTACAGCCCTTCACAATTCCACAGCTGAACATAGGCCACCCCCAGGAAATGCCACAAAGCACGGTCCTGAGCTACCTGCAACCATCGACTTCCTGCAAGTCTTACCAGGTCGTCATTACGTCTAGTGGGGGGACGCCCTACACTCGAGAACCTTTAGTTGTTGGTTCTTCGAGCTAAACAGCCGGCCCATTGTCACTTTAGCCTACTAATATGTTGAGCTTTGTTGGTTACTCTGTTTCTACTGCGAATATCCTCATTTTTAAGTCTATCACGCCGAGAAACCTCGAGTGTAATACTCTCAATAGTTCGCTGAGCGAACTTTAGCTTCCGCATACGGCCATCGGTGAAGGACCATGTTTTAGATCCATAGGTCATCACTGGCAACACACACTGGTTGTACAGTCTAGTTTTTAGGTTTTGAGGTATACATGACGAGAACCTCTTGATTGACTTCTCGGTCGAAATTGGACTTACCTAGTCGAATTTGTCCCAGGTAACCATACTCGTCAACAACTTCGAGCTTAGTGTCCCCAACAACTACTTGCATAGGTGTGACATGGACGTTACACATGACTTTTGTTTTTTCCATGTTCATATTAAGACCTATCCGTTGGGAGGCACTATTGAGGTCATTGAGCATAGTGCTTAGGTCCTCCAGCAATTCTGCCATAAGGACTATATCGTCGGCAAATCGAAGATGAGTGATGTACTCGCAATTGACGTTAATACCGTATCCTTACCAGTCGAGTAGCTTTAAAACGTCTTGAAAACGTGAAGAGTTTCAGGGAAATAACGTCACCCTGTCTTTACACCTTTCGCAGTTGGATAGGTTTCGTGCTCTGGTCCTGTACTCGGATAGCTACTACTGTACAAACACTTCAGCATTCCGATATACCGACAGTCAACTTGGCACCGCTGAAGGGACTGTGGTGCTTAAGCCCTTTCGGAAACTGGCTTGTTCGGGAGGCTGGTAGTCGCTGAGTCTGCATGCGAGACATTTCGTAATAACTCTCGAAAACAGCACAGCACGTAGTCGCGGCTCAGAAGGGAAATCGGTCTGTAGTTATACAAGAGAGCGTTGTCGCCTTTCTTGAAGAACAAGACCACCGCACTTCTGCTCCACGCCACTGGTGTAGTGCCAACATGGAGGACACAATAAAAGAGCTTCTGAAGGACTTCAAGTACCGGTTTTCCACCCTCTTTCAGAAGCTCCGCTGTAATTCCATCCTCGTCTGGGACCTTGTCGTTTTTAAAGTGCTGGAGAGCTATTCTAATCTCGCTCAGACTGACGTCCGGAATATCATCGGAATAGTGTCAGATAAGATTTGCTTTTGGATCGTTACTCACACTTGCATATGGCTCCAACGATGATGTATACAACTGCCCATAGAACCTCTCAATCTCACTCAAAATCTCAGGTGTCCCGGAAACGACGCTGCCACACTCGGTCTTTAGCTGTGTCAGTTGACTCTGTCTGGCAGACAGATCTCTAGCAAAGACTTTGGAGCCCTGGTTCCGCAGAATCGCTTATTCAATACGTGCTGTATTGAAGTTGATTAAGTCCCGCCGCATGCATTTGGAGATCGTCTGTTCAGTTGCCTGTACGCTGTCAAATCTTCTGAAGACTGCAGCTTCATTTCGCGTCTGACAGCTATGTGATTAAGAGTGTGATCGGAGCGTTTTTGCGTTATTATGCGGCGGCTCTTGCCTTAGATGTAAGAGAAAATGCAAAGGGATGCAACATCTCTTCGCAGCGCCAGTGAATCGAGCCGATCGGAAAGGACTCTGTCGTTGACTATTCGAGCCGCTTTGCGCTGGATGTGGTCAAGTGGAAGGAGGTGGCAGTGAGGAGCCCCAGCCCAGACATGGGAGCAGCATTCCAAGTGAGGCCAAACCTGCGCCTTGTAAAGTTGCAGGCGGTGTGCCGGCATGAAATACTGTCCCGCTCTGCTGAGCACGCCAAGCTTTTTATAGGCCAATTTGGCTTTATCTTCCAAGTGGCCACGAAACTGCACGTCACTCGATATGTTGACGCCGAGGATTCCGATAATGACTGAGAAAACAAGGGGAATACCTTGAACCTGAGGAGAAACGACAAAGGGTTTTTTTAGCGGTAAAAGCACAAATTTGTGTCTTCTGAGGTTTAAACTATACCAGATTTGGTCGCCCCCAATCCGAGACTTTGTTCAGCAAAGTCTCAAAAGCAAAGCCACTTCAGACACAAGTTTGTTGCGGTACTCGATGACGTTTTCCCGAGAAATATTGGCACGGTCGGTGTATAAAGCATCACTGTGGTGTACTATCATACGCATAGCAATGAATGTTACCGGTTTGCAACATATCATTTATAAGCAGAAGAAATAGCGTTAGTGATAGCACGCAGCCTTGTGGCTTGTAATTGGAGTCTGTCTTCTACGACCTTGATGCTTCTATCAGCCAGGAAACTGGTGATCCACTTGCAAAATTTCTCGGGAAGCCAATAATGACAAGCAAGGGAGCTTTGAAAGAAGCGCTTTGTGCCAAATCCGATCGAAGGCTTTCGCAATCTTAAAACTAACGGCCTATGCCTCCCCATTGGACTCGCTTGCCCATCTGTATGTTAGGTAAAAAAGAAGATCACTAGCTGAGCGACCCCAACGGACTCCGTACTGCCGCACACTAATCAGGTGTTGCTGTTAGTTAGTGAGACATTCAAACCAAAACCACACCGTTAGTTCATGCTCATTGCTCATTATGTACACTTTTACAAGTCTTTTGTACTGTTGCCGTCCTGTGCTGTGTATTTATAGCTTCCATTTTTGTTCCAAATATAATAAAACCTTACACATCATTATAAATAAACCAGTGCTAAAGAAACCATGACTATAGTGATCGGTAAAAATGCAACCAAAACGCCAGGCAGGCCTTGGAATATAAAACGCTAGCAATCATCAAGATAATTGTGCCGACGTGCCTTTAAGTCAGAAGTTTTCATTGTAGGTGAGCATAGATCATACAATATGGAAGGAAATGAGAAATAGATAAAATTAGGGATAGACATTGAGTAAATATGATCAACCAATCAAATCGTTTCATCGCGACGTTAGTGATATATCACGAAGACTGCCTTGTGCGTCTAATGATCGTAAACGCGATTGCTGATCATGAGGTGCCGGGTTCGAATCCCGGGTCGGGCCAAAATCAGTTAATGGGTTTTTCTGTCAAAAAATTTTCAGTAGCAGTTCTCTCGTGCTTTGGAAAGGACGTAAAGCCCTGTTGATATACTGCGCTTGATCTGTCCGGTCGTGTCGGACTACCGTCCCATTGGACTATGGGAGAAAAAGAATAGGGAGTGCACCTACGCCTGCGCATACAATCGGGCGCACTATTCCCCTCCGTAACAGATGGCTAGTCTCCGTTGAGACACGCCGCCGTGACCGAAATTCGGTCTAGTGGACATTATTATAAAGTATTATAAGTGACAATTTTTTAGTTTGACACTGAGTTTGATTATATATAGACAATTTCGAGCATTTGCTCAGTCGCTGCTCAAAAGAATAGTCTAGGACTCTAGGACTTGTGAAGTTCGCCAACATGCATTGGCCTGTACCGCATGTCCGTTCCTTTCCTTGACCTAAAAGCCTATCAGAAAGGACTTTTTTTTAGATTCAATTAGATAAGCAGCTTAATCTGTTAATATAACTTCTAATAAAAAATGAATAAAAGTATAATATTATTTTTCAGCCAAATTAAGCTCGTTAATGGGTGTCACAGAAGCTATAGCGCCGTCTATATACATGCCTACATCGAGTTTCATTTACGTATCAACAATAGAGACCTTCCCCGGAGCATTTTATTTGTTCGATGCAGCCCTCACCGTACTTGCATTGGGATTATTCACGTAAGTCATTTGTAAAACTCCTCTTCCAAAGAACTCTTCCATCGAACTTCGAACTAACATGATAGCGACTTCATTTTATAACATGGTATGATGTTCTCTTGATATAACTTGTCAGATATTCAATTATAATAATATGTAAGTAGTTTGTGTTTCCCATTGCCTTGTGATTGATCAACAAAATCAACATGCTATTTGGTGATAGGTGTTACAGCAAATATTTTTCTCTTGACTTGAATTTTCTTTGATTGGCATTGTTTTTAATACTCTAGGAAAGCTATTTTAGTCAGTCAAGTAATTAAAGTAAGACGTAAAAGAATCCATCACTTAATTTAGTACCGTGGGTGTCGTAAGTGACAGTACCAAATATATTAACTATCTATATAATATATAAGCGAAATACCATTGACTGACTGACTCATCACGAGATCTCTTTAACTATACACCCATTGACTTGAAATTTAGTATAGTTACTCATTTCGCAAAGCAGATGCTCAATGAGAACGGATTTTATGAAAGTTCTTTTAAAAAATTAATAGGCCCAGCGAAGCGAGCGGGTATTAGCTAGTACTACATGCATAAATGCCGATACTACCACCTCGTTTTTACTAAATTTAAAACAAACAAACCGGCGACGGGAAGAAACGGCAAAGGTGTGAGACGTCTGAAATTGCATGAGCCTTATAATTATGGCGATAATGGAAAATCTTGATGGGGAGTCTTACTGTTACCGATATTTACATCGGTAACAGTAAGACTTAGGGTTGCATTGAAGAATAGCACTTTGGAAGTCAAAATGACAATATTGTACAAGAGTTACCTACCATTATCATGATTTCAATGTTTTAACTTAAAATTCTTTGGACGAGATAAGTCCATAAGTCCATTGCTAAATACAGAGCAATGGACTTATGAGAAGCTGAAACGATGACGATAATGAAGCTAAAATTATACTAATACGTCGAGTACTACTTTGTTTTGCTTTGTTTTGTTTGTGTGAACTATGCTCTAATTTTCTGGTACATGTGTGCAGAAATGCAACTTAAAACAAGTTTTAATGTCTTGCATAAGAATCTGTATTGGTGTCAATAGTGAAAGTAGTCTTCAGTGCCGTTGCAATAAGAATAAATTATTGAAGGATTTTAAAATAAACTCTTTTAAAGTATGAGAAAGTTGTTGCCAGATACATATTTTAATTTAATACTTTCAGATTAATTTACATTTTGGTAAGGCGAAGGAAGGAAGTAACTGTTACAAATCCTGGCCGAAAAGAAGAATTTGCGAGAACGAATGAAGTTTCGAAGTTTTAGAACTAGCTATATATTGTAATATCACAAGAGGAAAAATATTGTTAACTCGAATTATTGTCAGAGCTAAAGTAAAGTATGCAAGATTAAAAGACTGTTTGTTTTTCAGATGTTTATCGTTCATTAATATAAATAATAAACGTTACTATAATAATAATAATAAAGGTTACGGGTATTTTTAATTTAGGCTTTATGTTAAAATTATTTATCTATAACTTTAACTGATTACACATCAAAATGTATTCTAAGTTTGTATATAAGTTTTTTAAGTCACGTGTTGTAGAATAAATAATAATAATGGAATTATCAAATTAAAAAAAATTGAAATTATTTAATAATTAAAACAAGACATTCTTCCATGGAATCTTGTAGTAATAAAAATTAAATACAAGTATAAAAATATATATAACAGTATTTTTAATATTATATTATAACAATATTAATGTACTTTACATATATCGAACATTGTATTAAAATATTAAATATTATGACGTAATATTACACATTGGAAAAGAGTAATTAGTATTCAGTAAGATAAAAAACGTAATTGGGGTCGTGGTTTCAAGGTATACTATGGATAATGAAAATAATTGCACGTAATTTGATAAAAGGACCATGTCCTTACTGTAACCAAAAGAGGGAAAAAAGTACAAAAGTTATAAGCCTATAAACGTCTTACTGCTGAATCTTAGTTCAAATAATTGAAAATAATATAAAGGAAGAAATAATTATAACTCTAAATGCCTATCTATGTTTCGATTTAAGTTGCAGACGATGAAGATAAAGACAAATTAAATGGTTGACTGGGAGAGAATGCCATAAAGCATTAAGTCCGCCATATGTACGATTATATTTTTTGTGCATAAAACTTTAAATAAATACTTGAATAAATAAAGATAATTCTTATGAAAAACAGTATATATTACACGGCAAAACGCACGTGAATAATAGCGGGGCATTTAAATGGCAAAATTGGATGCAAGGCTACTTTTACCGGCCACGGCAAGAAAGCCGTATCTAACAACTATGTAAACAGAGTAGTTTCACTGCCTCAAAATAAATGCAAGTTAAAAGCAACATGTTGCCCATAAAGATACCTATAAATGACCATGGAAATCCCTTGATGGAGCCACGATCAATTATCTTAATAATGTTCACCAGACCGATTTTCGATCACAGCGGTCAGTCTCCAGAGACTAGCCACCAGCGCAGGAGAGGAATATAGTGCCCGAGTGTATGCGCAAACTCAAGTGCACTCTCTGTTCCCTCACTCTCATAGTCCGATGGAACGGTGAACCAATACGACCGGACAGAGTACAGGCACACGATGGTATTTACGTGCTTTCCGAGGCAACACCAACGCCAACCTGCTGAAACCGGGCTGCTCTTGACGATTTCTTGACAGAACCTATAACTGATTTCGTCCCGACCCGGGATTAAAATCTGGGACAGCTACCACTAGACCAACGAGGTAGTCACTCAGATTAACCATATATTAATTGACAGCAGACATAGAAACACTAATCAGGATATAAGAGTGTTGTATAGGGCCGACTAATTTAATTTAATTTAATACGTATTAATACGTAGTGATAGCTACCACAGTCGGCCCAAATTAAATCGGTCAAAATTAAATTTATATTAAAAACACGCGCAAAGAACGCGAAGTTAAGGAATCGTGCATTAACTTTGAAAACCTCCGAGGCAATAAAATTAGACAGAAATTTCAACTAGTGTTTTTTGTAATGATTTCTTATATTTACGCAAACACTACACATTTAAATAAAACTAATTTTACGGATTTTATCGCACTAAGTTAATATACGCGATAAAATCCGTAAAATTAGTTTTATTTAAATAGTGTTTTTTGTTTATAAAAATATACTAGCAATGATTTTAACATTATTAATATTCCATTTAACCACTCCAGGATAGATTAAAATGGGTGTGTTTGGAGTGGTTCATGACAGTAGTCGAATGGTGGATTCGAATTCACGACCTTTCGAATTGGTGATCCGCACACTGCCATAAGCTACTAAGACTTCTGTGTTAAACAACATATTTGCGAGTCTAGAAAATATGATCACATGCAGAATGGGAACAAATTAAAGAGACTGATGCCTATATGCTCAAATCCTGCTCAGTTAAGATACCATTGAGTATCGTGCTCTCTTTCACTTTAAGTCAAAGTGACTGTGACACCACGAATTTACTATATCCTAAAATTGAGTGACATTTGAGTATTTGGCCATTAAAGAGATGTGCCAAATGAAATGGTGGAGCAATCATTGCGATGTAGCAGTAAAAAATTAAGAAAATATAAGGAATAGAATAATATCTGGAATGACAATCACAAAGAGATACAAAATACGAAAAGCCAAACGTGGAACACAGGCGAGACACAATTTTTTACCTATCCATATCTGATTTAATGTTTAGTGATTGACTGTCTCATTGGTCAAATGCGCGACTACTGATTATGTAGTCACGGTTTCCAATCTCGAGATCGGACGAAAATTAGTTATTAGATTTTGTCAAGGAATTCTCATTGTTAGTCCGTCATAGTAGTCAGGAAGTTGCCAGTATTTTGATCCGTGCCTCGGAAAACACGTAAATCCGTTGTGATCTCCCATTCTTAAAAAGGAGGTTAACAATTTCACGGTTTTTTTTTATATGCACATAGGTTACGCGATATCTTTGTTATTTGTGAATTGTTTCTTTTTTTATCTACTAGGTGTATAACCTATTAAATAAAAAAGAATGAGTGGTCCCATATAAATTTGGATAAAAAATTCCAACCCAATGACAAAAAGGAGATGAGGTTTTTGATGGACCTATTTAGACAACATACTTTTATTAAAAGGTAATTTCCTATGTCCTAACCTCATTAAGACTTAGGAAATTACCTTTTCATAAAAGTAAAAACCGACTACAAGCTATTAAAATAAATTGTAATCTGAGGTCAAGGTTTTAATTCTTCAATACAATATGTCTTAGCACCGCCTTTAGAACGTTAAAATAATTTTATAATTTTTATTTGTTTGCAATCGACTTTTACTTTTCATCTAAAGTTTTTTCTAAAGTGCTTGTTTAAAGAAGTCTTCTCCATTGTTTAATAATTACAAAAGCATTTAAGTGAAAAGAATTTTATTATACGTGCTCCAATTATTACTTTTAGCTTACCGATGTTATCGGTTAAATGCGTTGTCAGTTTTGAACTAAATTAAGTAAAGTAAAATAACTTAAGTAAAACGTCTTAAGTTATTCCAACTGATAGTAGTCAGACTTTAATAAAGAATAGAAAGTATCTATATTTTAAATATAATAATGTCAGTTTTCACCCACTATAAGACATCTAAATATAAATTTATGACTTTGACATATTGTTCTAATTAAAATCGTCACAGCTCGTGATCAAGTCATGTTGCTCAAGTATTTTTAAACTTTTATAATATTATTATACGAATCTGTTGAGAATTGCGAGAGAAAGTGATGATTTAGATAAGCATAATATATTTATTATGTCAACATACTTATTATATATTCCCAGTAATAATTTAGTTGAACGTACTCTTATCTGTAAGCAAACATTGTATCATAAGACAAATCTCACTTTAAAATGTGTTATTTACTTTCTAAAGTTATTATTTTAGTTATTTTCTGTTAATGAAACACAAAAGTTCATTCGTCTTAATCGTAACATACCCACTGTACATGTGTGTGTGTGATCTGGGAAGCCCAGCCTGCCTAGAGTGTTCTGCCTTTGCGCTCTCCAGCTGAGGTAGAACTGCAAGGAAAGACAAGTGGAGTGCAGTGTCAAATTCCCTAAGACAATCACATAATATGCACATATGCACGCATACATACACACTTACTCTCATACCATTGCATTTTTTCAGTTTTGAGCTCTAAAACCTTACGTTTTGCGTGGAAAATTCGAAGGTAAAGTATGAATTTGCGTATAAAAATTATATTTCTTTGTTTTCCCGCATGCGTCCTTATAACTTTCTTCTGACTACCGTAAAACTTTGGTTAATCCTTGTTATAACTTTATATGAAGAGACATTCAAACTTTGCCATGTCGGAATTAAAGAGCTGACGTTAGAGTTGATAGGCACGTAATTAGTTAATCAAGTTATTTCAACATATAACTTTGACGTGTTATAGAAATATATAACATTTTTCAGGGGTATTATGAATATTTTCCTTAACTGATCATATTAGTGTGCCGCGTCGTGGCCGTGTAAAAGAATATACTAAGCCATGTCATCCCACGGGTGTCGTTAAAAGCAATAGCATCTTTCTGATATGAACTCCAAATTTAAAAAAAAACTGCGGTTGCCAACCCGCCTGCCAAGCATGGCAATTATGGGGCAAAATATGGTAAGGCCTATGTTCAGTGGAGATATAATGACAGTAAATAATGGAGTGGAGATATATTATACACATACAAACAAACAAACACACATACACACACACACACACACACACACACATCACGTATTCATTAAGGGACAAGAGTCTGGTGATTAGTCGTTCAGGTCTTTCTTAGTTCCAGTCTCTCACAAATGGTTATTCCTCCAATAGTATTATAAATAAGGCAATGTAAAATTGTGAGAGCAAATAAAGTAAATATTATTAAAACAAAAAGATGAATAATCATATTATTTTTTAATTTCTGTTATAACTGTAATCATGAGTATAGTCACCGCCCCTTAAAATCGTATCTGATACCAAAGATTTTTATATAGCGATGATTTGACGAAATTTTCGCACTTTTTAAGTTGAATTGGATATATATTGAATTGAAAATTGATATTGAATTGGATGAATAGTTTTGAAACCTTTTTATCCATCATCTTACGCATAATCATTCAAGACCCTTTTTCCTCCATGTTCTTTTTTTCATTTAATGCGTACGTATTCAATGTGGAATATATACATGATATATATATAGTCTTAGATTTAAGAGTTAAATAAAGATAAATATGAGATATTTGGAC